AGAGTAGTCATTTGAACCTAAATGAAATTTCATTTGGTTGCACTTCTTGTCAATCTCATATTGTTTGAAGAAATTAAACTTGTAAGCTGGTATGGTCGGGATATTGCAGCATGCTTGGGCCTCAATATTTGATTCAAATTTGATTACTATTTTTTTTATTTTTATAATTGGCCTATAATCTCGTGTTGTTAGAATGACCTTGAAGTTCTTGATGGTCTAGACTCTCTAGTCATACAGGGGCTCAAAATCCTTGACTTTCCCTTTGGGTATTTGCACCCAATTATCATCACCCTGAAGAAGTATAATAAGCAGATTGATAAAACTATGATATTTTAAATCACAGAGTTTGAATTTGTGTGGTTGTTGTTAGTATTCCTTTGAATCAATAACCATCCTACCGGGACTAAGAATAACATCTGTGTTGGGATTGATTGTCATCCACTTCCTTGAAACTTGACATTGAATATTCCAATTCATCTTTTGAGTTGTCAGATTGCATATCAATTGAGATTTCATATTGACTAACATTTTCAATAAAATATCAGTTAAACAATAAATTTTGTTTCACCATGGATCTTAGAATAACTCTCAAAATACGTACTAAGCACAACGTTGATGTACGAATTGTGTCATTAAATAAATAAAAAAACAGAGATCAATTCTTTCTGGAATAAGAACTTCACCATATATCATCATGGCTATTGCCTTCGTAGTAAAACTTGGCAATTAAATTTAGAAGGAAGATTGAAGAATGGTAGGACTTTAGTGCAATTTAATTGTTCCACAACCATGAATATAAGTGAATTGAGAATCATATTTTGTACAGCCAAGACAAGTTAACATGTTAGTAGTAGTACTAAGAAAAATTGAGTTGGCCAGTGATTAAAAAAAGAAACTAAGTTTAGTAAAACGTTAACAAAATTTTAATATGGATATGCTGGTGGAGGTAAGAGAGCAGCAACCATGGCAGCAATAATGAAAGAAAGAATATCTGCAATCATTCTTAAATAATAAATAATCAAGGATAATACTATTTTTTAGTCAAATTTTTCATGGATTCTAAAATATTAGTAAAATCATTGAGAATATGAAATATTAGCCAATCATTAAATCTTTGTAATACTTCTGTTAAATGATTATGAGCTGGCGGATGTGATGCTGAGATGGAAGGAATTGATGATATGACACTCAAAAAGAATAATTTTTTATTTCTTAATTTATAATTTTAACCAAGCCTTTCACGGATTCAAAAATATTAGCCAGATTTTTAAAACATGAAATATTAGCTAAACCTTTCATAAAACTACAGCCATTTTCCATTAAGTTAACGTTAACGTTAACAGAATTACATGTAAGCTAATCGTCAGTCCACGTGTTTGACACATCAGCGCCATACCAATTAATTTTTATAATTTATAATTAAAAGAAGGGTTATCCACTATCTTCTCCACCACGATTTCGCTCTCCCTTCTTCGTCGTTCCTTCGTTCATCTTGAGGTCTACTCTGACGCTCCTCTCTTTACTCAATAGTAACGATAGTCGAGTAGTCTCCTCTGAGAAGCACGGTTGTGCGGCGAGCAGATTTAGCACCTTTCTCGATTACGCGACAGAGAGGTTGGAAGAGGAAATCAAAATCGCCTACTTAACTAAGTTTATCATAGCCACATGACTCGATTGACGGTTCAGAGAAGAAGGAGGCAATGACTGTTGACGCATATGGTGGTTAGGTTTGGCTAATAATTTTGTAGAATTATGCAAAATTTGGCTAATATTTTCGTATTCACAAGATTGGCTAATATTTTATAATCCATGAAAGGTTTGGCTAAAAAATAATATTTTCCCTTATAAATTTTAAAAAAACATTTTTATTTGACATGGCGCTGATGTGTCAAACACGTGGAATGACGATTAGCTTGCGTGTAATTCTGTTAAGGCTAACGTTAACGGAAAATAAATATAATTTTATAGCGTTATGAAATGTTTGGCTAATATTTGTATATTCAAAGGTTTGGATAATATTTTAGACTTTGTGAAAGGTTTGATCCAAAAATAAAAATTCCCTAATAATCAATATATGGAATACTACTATTGGGGAAGGCAATTCTATGCCAGAATAAATGCATCCAAATATGCAATTGTCTAAGAATTGAGTTTTTAGGGAGCAAAAAATTGCAATAATCATATGGGAATGGGACGGGCTGAGTGTGGTCCATAGCAGGGCTAGAGGCCCATTTCATAAATTCATAATTTTGCTGCCTGCTTAGTGAAAGATCAAAGGGTTCTTTCGTGAGCTGCGCAGGAGCCAGGAAAAAGGAGTTTGAGGGAGAACCTCCTTATTTAGAGATGCAGCAAATCTTGTTTTCCCCCTTCTTCTGTGGAATTAGTTGCCTTACATGCAAAGCATGGATTACATCTCATGATATACACTATGTTTGGAAAGAGGTGCAAATGGGAAGAGGGTGCAAATGAGAGGGATAAACACAGTTTCCAACACATTTGCACACGTTTGGATAATTTGTAACGGTAGAGAGTGCAGAATTACTATTTTGGCTTACCCCGAATTGAGGTGCAAGAGAGAAAAAGACGGAATAAGGGGGAGGGAGGGGGAAGAAATTATTTTTCTAATAATTATTTTTCTAATAATTTTTTAATTATATAAGGAACGGAAAATAGAGTAATCTTCTGAGAAATAGTACTCTATACAACAAGTTACTCTACTATATCACCTACGTCTTCAAAACCTTATATAACCTATCATTAATAGACAAACTAATCAGATCAGCCCTTAACATTTGTTGATTACTATCTATAAATTGCAAGTTGCAAACCGCATGCGAGCAGATAACTGTGGTAGGTCTAGGCTGCTCATCACGAACTCGTCGACATCTTTCCTTCCATAATGCTACCACACTAAGAGGTCGTTTGAATTAATCATTTGGATTTCTACCAAAAAAAGAATTAATCATTTGGTACTAAATGACTCAATTGAATTATTTGGTACAAACTGACTTGTTTGTTAGTGAAAAAATGTATGAGTTACTTAGTTAATACGAAAATCTCAATTGACTTTATTAAGTATTTTCAAATGTCTCATATTCGGAAGTCATTTACAAATAACTCATTATTTATCCATTCACGTTCATATATGTTCGTGCTATAATTTAAAAAGTCACTAATATCCCTCTCATATAGGGGTGTTCAAACATTGTGGTTATCGTGGTAACCGTTTTAACCGGTACTATTTTGTTAATTTGGTTTGGTTAATTTGGATAATTGGTTTGGTTTGGTTAACATTTTTAGCTTGTTTGGTTTAGGTGGTTTGGTTTGGTTTCAACACTCCTAACCACTCAAAAACCAAACATTCTTTCCTTTTAGGCTCATCAACAATAAAACTCAATATTGTTCTTATACTATATATTTGTATTTGTACAGTGTAGACCATGATCTATGAAAGCCCAATCTAGATAAAACTCATACAATATATTAGATGAAAATTTGAAAGGAATGTCTTTTTAACCTATGATAATTGCTAAGAGACTAATTCAATTCACACAATCACAACAATTCATTAACTCCATACTATTGACATATATTTTTGTTAGGTGAATACTTATATTGAGTGCAAGATAATTGTATTAGTTGCATGTATTTCTGTATGGGTTAACTATAACTATATGTTCATTGTAATGTTTTATTCATCATATAAATTATGAATTGATGCATTAACCGAAAATTTTCTCACTTAATAATAATGTGATGCTATGTTGGTTACTCCAGTTAACCAATTAACAAAACCGACTAAAATTTTGTTTGGTTAATTTGGTTGTTGCATTAGTTTGGATGGTTTGGTTATGATATTCTATTCCATGGTTAATAAAATTTTGACTTGTTTGGTTTGGTAATTAGCATGGTAACTATTTGAACACCCCCACTCTCTTATATCTTTCTATTGCATTTTTTTCGTTTTACCAAGCTGACCATCATTCTTCTTCTTCTTCTTCATCTCCAGCAGAAGTCATCGGTCGGAAAAGACAAAGCATGACTTATTCTATAAACTACTTCTCCTTGTCGTCGCTCGCTCCGGCTCTTGGTTCGCTCTCCAACCCATCAATAATCTTCCCCTTTTAATCGAGTTCTAGAAACCCATCATATTCTTCCTCCTTTCATTCATCTCCACCTGCAAAACTAGGGATGAAATTACCAACCCATGGGCAATTTTACCCAAATCCAAATAAACCCATTGATCATGGGTAGGGTACGAGTGAAATCTATATGGGTTTGGGCCTTCAAGAAGGGTTTAGGTAAGGTATGGATATTGCTTTCATACTCCAAATGAGTATGGGTTGGGTATGGGTACTCATTTAATTGAGGTTGTTTTAACTACACATACAAAAATTGAACCTGTTTACAAAACTTAAAAAGTTTAGGTATTAAAATGTAATACCCAAATTTTAGCAGTAAAATGTAATTTTCCATTGATTGTTAAGGACTTATATGCTAAAAATAAAATTTAAGTACTAATTCTAAAGATATAATTAGTTTAGATACCAAATTGTAATTTGCATATAGTTATGTGTACAAACTCAAATTGATGAATTAGAAATCAAAATCAAATAAATAAGTATGGGTATAAAGCAATCAAATTCTACCCACTTACCATTATAGGTGTCAAAACAGAACCCAACCCGAGCAACCCGCTCGTTTAACCCGACCCACAACCCTGACCGCAACCCGAACGGACTAAAAGTCAACGACCCGTAACCCGCCCGACCCGTAACCCGATTGACCTGCAACCCGATCAACTCGCAACCCGACTAGCCCGCAACCCGATTAAACCGAATCCGAATGACCTGCAACCCGATTGAACCCGAACCCGACTAACCCGCAACCCGATTGATCCGAACTCGACTAACCCGAACCCGCCCGATTGACCCAAATAATTACTATATAAATAATCTAGTCTTTCAAAATGAAGTTTTGGGTTATATGTGTTATGTTATACCTTTTAATTTGTAGTCTTATCCCTTTCATTCATTCTTGATTAAAACACAAACATAAAGCAACCACATACACCATCGCCCAAAAACCAAACAAATGAAGTATGAACACAACCACAATCAACAAGCATCAAAATCAACACATAACAAGACAAAACAATACCAAACTTTGAACCGAGAAAAACAAAATCAAAATTAGACCTAACTGCTACAATATCCATCTACTCTTGAATCTACACTCTAGAGTTTCAGAGTTCCATCTTGCCTCTAGCAACTTGCAGTACTATAATGACCAATATGCTACTCCAACAATAATGCAGTACTTGACTCGACTACTCTTCATCTTCTTGAGGTCCTGCTGCTGCTGCATCACATGCACTGCACTAAATTCTAAGTAAAACAAAGAGGAAAGAACAAGAGGTTAGCATGTCATAGATTCCACATGAGACGAATGAGTACCAACAATTAACACAGAGAAGGAAAGAGAGAAATTAACCAACAAGCTAAGCTGCATATATTTACTAGTGAAACAAGTGGTAGGAAAATGCAGCAACAAACAAGAAATGCTAAACACAGAATAAGGAGATAACATCTAAATGACACTCCACTAGCTTATAATTAAGTAAATTCCATTCGAAAGCTAGATCACAAAGTTGTATAGAGATAAGGAAGCTAGTTCCTTCCTTATTAAAAGAAGGTTTACATCAGCTCACAAAGAAAACAAAAGAAATAGATTTCATGCATGATTATAGGAAAAACGGTTGAGGAAAAAGTTTCAGAACTCAAATGATTTAGCTTAGTAATGATACAAAGTTCCATTAGCTGCTTAGTCGAGTCGGATTTAGTACCCTCTAAACTATGAAGTGAACGTTTAGGAAGGGAGCAGATATTCAAACTAATTGAACTTAAACTTAAAACACTATGTTGTTCCTCCTACCTCTAGCTTTCCCAAACTTCCTTTCCTTTGACCAGGCATAGGGTTTAGAGTGGTCTGAGTGGATGTGTTGTTACCCCTACCTCTAGCTTTCCCAAACTTCCTTCCCTTCGACCGATGGAAGAAACCACTCACTCCAATTAGCGGAAACGAAGATCGACCAATGAAACTGGACACATCTCAAATTGATTCCATTACTCTAGCAATTCCAAATGACCAAAGAAAATACCGACAAGAAAGCATAATGGAAGAAAAGAACTAGAGCTCTGCGTGAAATTACCTCAACGTCAAATTGAATTGAACGATTCTGGACAGGGAAAGTGGATGCTTGTTGATACTAGATTTCATGGAGTTGGAACTTGAAGCCATATGATATGCGTCTTCTTATTGCTCTTACCTCCTTCTTTGAAATTGATCTCCATCGCAAACGCCGTTTGTTGGTGGGTGGAAGACCTAGTGGCAAATTCGCGAGTCGGGGAGTTTTTTGGGAACGAAGAAAGTGGATTTCGCTAGAAAGGTAAAAGCTTGCTGCTCTTTTATTTTTGCTTGGTAAAAGAAATTGTAAGAGCGGCAAATTTTAGGACTATGGAGCCAAAAATTTGGTGAGCCAAAAATTTGGTGAGTAGAGGCGGGAGCAAATTGCGGGAGAATGAAACTGTTTAGGAGGAAATTTTTTATTTGATAAATCAAAAGAATCACAATTTTTTTCAAAAAAAAAAAAGTAACACTTAGTAAAAATTTTGCATATTAAGTTGTGTTCAAGTTGACTTTCATTTCAAAATGGGTGTTAAACTTGCCCTGTTAAGTTTTACGATTGAAATAACTCAGTCGGGTTGCGAGTTTGAAAATTTTGGTTAATCGGGTTGCTGGTAATTTGGAATGGAAAATGAGAGGGAGGTTTGGATGAGAACTTTAGAATAGAAAATTTATGGGCGGGTGAATATGAGCCAACAATCATACTAAACTTGATAAGTAATTTTTGATGGTTCGTTGTTTAGCATATAAAATATATGGTTAGAGTATAGGGTATAAGGTATAATGTACAGATGGTTTAGGGTGTATATGGTTAGGATATAAGGTATTGATGGTTTTGACGGTTCTAAGTTTTTTATTAACATATGTTCACTTGAAGTCATTTAAAATCTTTAACGGCAGGAGATTCGTTTTCAATTTATGTTTATGGTACGTGGTTAGGGTACATGGTATATGATTTAGAGTATAGGATATATGGTGAGGGTACAACAAATATCACTGTTTTATCTATGTTTCGAAAATCAAAGTATGAATTTCACTTTAAATTAACTATACTAGCAAAATCACAACTCATAGGGATATATCATATATGGTTAGGGTATAGGGTATGTTGTTAGTGTATAATGTATTGATGGTTTAGGGTATACAATCAACAACATATATTAACTTAATATTGTCGATTGAAGGTAAGGCTAAGTGTATAGGATATATGTTAGGACTTTGCTACGGTGACATGCATGTCACGGTGACATGCACTTTTCGGTCGACCTCATATAGGATCAGGTCGACCTAATCTGTTGTTTCAGTGTAAAAACAGTTTCATGATGCCTACTTTGGAGATTCATATCTTACAATTGGCTATATGGAAATTGGAGATTAAAGGCTTGTTTTGAAGCTGAGTGTCCCTCTACACATTAAAGTACTTGGGAGCTCAATAGAAAGTCCAGAAGACCATTTTTGAACCTGACCAAAAGGCTATGCCAAAACTGGGAAACTGCCTGAAAATGACTAAGTCTGGCAACGTGTTTGTCAAGCCTACTTTGGAGCTCAATTTGAGAAGCATGGATGCGAGTCAAGTCTAGGGGCATCTACCACGTTAAATTACGTATTTTTTATACAAAGGCAAGGCATTGGATGAAATATTGAATATCTTTAAGGCTTCAAACAAAAGGCTCGAAGTTGCTATGAAGGCTGTTTTTCTGACCGCTTGCTTGTGCTCGAGGTCTGCAAAAAAAACAGCCTTCGTAGCAACTTCGACCCTTTTGTTTGAAGCCTTACAGATATCCAATCTTTCATCCAATGCCTTGAATTTGTATAAAAACATACCTAATTTAACGTGGTAGAGGCTCGTGGACTCGACTGGCATTCATGCTTCTCGAATTGAGCTCCAAAATAGGCTTCACAAACACGTTTCGAGACTTAGCCATTTCCAGGCAGTTTCCCAGTATTGGCATAGCCTTTTGATGAGGTTCAAAAATGGTCTTCTGGACTTCCTATCGAGCTCTCAATCACTTCAATATGTAGAGGGACACTCCAGCTTCAAAACAAGTCATTAGTCTTCAATTTCCATCTAGCCAATTGTATGATATGAATATCCAAAGTAGGCACCATGAACTGTTTTTACATTGAAACAACAGATTAGGTCGACCTGATTCTATATGAGGTCGACCGAATCCTAAATAAGGTCGACCGGATCCTATATGAGGTCGACCGAATCCTAAATAAGGTCGACCGGATCCTATATGAGGTCGACCGAATTCTAAATGAGGTCGACCTAATCCTAACTGAGGTCGACCGGAAAGTGCAAGTCACCGTGACATGCATGTCACCGTAGGCACACCCTATATGTTATTGAGTAAGTTATGATTGAAGTCACAACAATTTTACTAAATTTGATAGTTAATCTTCAATTGTTCAATTTTTAGGGTAATTCGAACAATTTTACAAAGTACTCGTTTGGCAACAGTTTACTAAAGTTATTAGAGCAATGTCTTATTTCGAAATAACTCCTTTAACCACTCTGCTTTTGCCAAATACCAGATTTTCATGGTTATACTAAACGAGATACTTTAATCCAATTAATACTGAAATAATACTAAAATACCAAATAAACAATTAATGGTGTCTTTTGGTTGCAAATGTTGATATAACCATTACTATTAGCTAGTGTCCTTTACCAATTACGATTAATTACGTAACAAGTTTGCAAGTCATATAAATTTATTAGATATTTTGACTAGTCTTTTTTAAATTAAGTATATATACGAGGTAGAAAGAAATTGGTTAAAAATTGAGAAAATTATTTTAAATTAGTGTAATAAAACGTGTAAGTTGATAACGAGTAAGAAGTACGTTACTCGATGCCCTGACCCGAACAACCCGCAACCCAATCCGCCCGCAACCCGCCCGACCCGCAACCCGATGAACCCACAACCCGATTTGCCCGCAACCCGATTGAACCCGAACCCGATTAACCCGAACCCAATTAACCCGCAACCCTTTTAAACCCGAACTCGATGAACCCGAACCCGATGGACCCGCAACCCAATGAACCCGCAACCCGTTTGAACCCGAACCCGATTGAACCCAACCCGAACCCGCCCGAACCCGCCTCATTGACACCTATGCTTACCATGTATTTGGATTTCATACCCAACCCAAATAGATTGTATAGTAAAATACCCATAGGTATGGGCAAAATTGTCACCTAAGCAAAACCCCTATTCTTTCTCTCTGTTTACTCATCTCCATTCGCCACTATGCAAAAGCCATATCATGCAAGCAGTACAAGTCTGGTTCCACGTGAATAATTCTTTGAAACCTAAACCACCTTCTCTTCTCGGCCTTGCCATTCTCTCCCATCCAATCTTTGCCCTACCAACATACCTCCATGCGATAAGAAATCAGAACAGGTCACTTGAACCCTCTCATAAATCTTTTTACGTAACAGAAAGACTTGCATCCAATACTAAAGGATACCCATAAGCATATTAGTGACAAGTTGAAGTCGCCCAGTATAGCTCAATTTCTTAGTATGGCAAGAGGGAAATCTTCTGATTCATTTTATCCACCAGCCTATCATTGTCAGTTGAGAAGAGTTTGCCAGAAATTAAAGAGAGGTCCAAATATTTTGAGGCAGTCTCCCTTCTTGGAAACCAGACATTTTCAATGCATTTTGTTTTTTTTTTTTAAATGCATTTTGTTTTGTGTAAAGGCTATTAAATTTCCACCAAAGTATACCTAACAATTTGTTGGTTTGCTTTTCAGTCATAACATTATATAGTAATCCGATAGAACCTGGGAAAAAATTCAAAACTATCACTGTTTAAAAAAAAAAATTATAAAAATACCACCCATTCTCAACAATTTCCAAAAATACCACCCATTCCCAAAAGCCGCGCCTCTAATAGGCGGTTAATATATAAACCGCCCTACCAAGCAGCGGTTTACATCATAAACGCCTTGTTAGCAGGCGGTTTTTAATTTAAGGTAAAACCGCACCTCGAAGGCGCGGTTTATATATTAACCATACCACAAAACGCTTTGTGAGGTAGCGTTTAAATGTCGGCTTGGTAAACCGCACCACCAGGCGACGGTTTATCATGTGCTGACATAAACCGCGCCCCCAATGGCGGTTTGTGCAAACTTAACGGCTGTCCCAAGGCGCAGTTTGTGCCTGGTCACCCGACATCAGACATGTCGGCATGCAGGGGGTGGGGCTACCTGGCAGACCTAAAACCACCCCCCCCCCGGGCGGTTTGTACGTCAAAATCGCCTATAAAAGGCTATTTCAGAGAACTCAAACTCTTCACTCCTCAAAATCTTCACACTCTTCCTCCTCCTTATTCAAATTTCAGTTGTGCACCTTTCAATTATTTAGTTTTTGCGATTAACGTTAATTCGTAAGTTTGTTTTGTATTACTTTTCATTTTCCTTTGTGATTTTATGTTAATAACTTAATTACAGTTTTATTGCAGATGGCATTCCAAAGGTTCACGTTTGGGTTGCGGTGGAATGGTTACACGGAAGAGACCGAAAAGGGTGTAAGTTATGTCGGTGGCAATTTTTATAAAATGAAGGTCCGTACGAGACCGATGCTTGAAGAGCTCCATCAAATGTGCACTCAGATTACCTGCATGGATGACACTAGAAGAGTTGATCAAATGGTGTATCGATATTTAAACAGACATGACGGGTCGCTGTGGAATGAGAAATTCCTCCTTACCACTCAGGAGGACGTTGATGTCATGGTCCAATTTTTGACCACCAATAAAATTAAGCAAGCGGAGAAGTTTGTTTACACCGAGGCCGTCGAAGGCGGTGTAGGTCATTCTGGAGATGGCCAAACATCTGGTATCCACGGTGGAATTGTATTATACGAAGATCATCCCCACCAGGAGTACCAAGACTCGAGCTGGAGGCAGGAGTATCATGATGGAACTGGAGGTCATCATCAATCTTTCCCTTCATATGAAGAAGAAGCTCAACAGGATTATGATGATCGCTTAAGTCCTCATTTCCTTAGACATGCATTTCTTTATAAAGAGTCTAAATAAGTGTTATATTGTATTGATTTAAATTATTGAAAATAATCAATACGATTAACAATTAAGTAAATTATTGTACAAACAAATAAATTACTTGAACAAAATACAAATTACAAGTGATAATAAATAATATGTACCTTGTAGTCGTTCCAAACGTCTATTGAACGATGATTGGCTTGATCGTATAAAATAGTCGGATCAATTGGTCCTTGATCAACATAATATCGTTGATTGTATATATCAACATCCAGCCCAACCTACGATAGCATAACAACAACATAAATCAATTAGTATATAAATTAAATTAATTATTATAAAAACAAC